AAACCACAGGGTACATGAGATTATAAGTAATTATAATGGAGGTGGGTTCTTTCAGCTGTTTAGGATATTCTCTGGGTCCTCAAGCATGGCTTAGTTGTGGAAGTGGGTGCTTCATAGAGCCCCATAGAACCCTATGGTGTGCCCAGTCTTATCTTTACTGGCTGGGGTTTGGCTACTAGAACAAGGTGCTCACTATGGTTTCTTTCATTTTTGGTACTGGGAATTGAACTCAGGATCTTACTCTTGCCAGGCAGTACCTGTGCCACTGAGCTATATCCCTGGCCTCTCTGTGTTTTCTTGAGATCTTTTCCCTCTGTGCTTAAGGCACCCTGTGGTGAACCTCGTTGGTCTCTCGTTGTACCCCGGAGAGAAACGGCGGTGGGTATCAGAAAAATAAAGACAAGAGACAAGAGCTGGGTCAGGGGGAGTTACCTCTTGCCTGATGAGCAAGAGCACCAACTTCAACAGTAGGGGTGTTTATTTTATACACTTGCAAAGTTAGTATCATGGGGGGGTAATGTTGCCTAGCAACTGACCACTGTAATTGTCCAGCAGGATGCCTTTTTCAATACTGAGGTAACCTGACTACTTGACCAATAACCAGCTCCTGTGGCTCCCAACATATCTCTCTTTTCTGTTTAGTTGTGGAAGTGATGGGGGTTCAGTTGAAGCTGGAAAAGCTGTGTTTGAAGAATACAGTCCAATGTCCATAACAGTGGTCAGTTATCAGTCTAGCTGGCAATTGCCAGAGGTTGTTGGTGACTTGAACCTTTTGTAGCTAACCTATTACTGTGGCATCATTTCTTTACATCTTGTGGTTACACTTTTCTGCTGGATGTTTAAGACCAAGTTAAAGTGAGATCTGTATGAAGAAAAATTTAACTTTTTGCTATCTGTCAGGGTCAGTTAAGTCTCCTCAGGAATCATCTTGGAACCAAGTACAGCAGCTCTTGACTGGTCAGTGTCAGCCATCAGGATGAGTCACGGCCATTGCTTGACCAAGTTGCTTTCTGTGAAAGCTTGAGAGATTTTTTTCTCTCCTGGTGACCCTCCTTAGGCACACTATATATCATAGAATCACTTTCCTCTGTGGTCCCATAAAATCTCCTTGATCAGAAAATCAGGGACTCAACCGAGTTATAGGACGTCACAGCACAGGTTCTGTTATGTCCTGAATCTTCACTGACCTGCCAAGGCATGGCCAAAATATTGGCTGTCCTGTTAGCCCAATTTATCGCTCTAATTTTTGGTCTCCAAACCTCAGTTGTTAAACATCCAGCGGAGAAGATTAATGACATAACATTGTAATGGAGGCAATAAGATTAATATTACAATCTGATCTGAATAGCAAACACCTTAGAACATACAAATAGAACAATTATTTTTTAACAACCATTGATATCCTAATATTTAAATCCTCCTAGAATGTTAACAAGCAATAGTTACATATTTTTACACAGAAATTTAGAAATCAAAACCATACATAACATTGCTACGACAATCATGATGACATTTTGTAACGTACTTAAATTTTCATTTTGACATGACATTACCCTTTTAACCAATCACCTCTTATCTAATATGTAAGAAGCTTTTATCTAATTTGTTGTCCTTCAATTGGATATGTATCACAAGTTTTTGTTAAAGGCAGAAGTCTGAATCTGAAGGAAAGTCTTATCACAATATACAGTCTTTGTTTTACATCTTGGAAGATCTGTAGATCCAGAATCATGAATACATTTAATACACCATGAGGTTAACACTAGTGAATTACCATACACATGTGAAAACCTTTGTTAAAATTTATTTTTGTACAAAGATCATCCTTTATG